ATGTCCATACATGGTGAAAGGAGGAAGGGAGCTCTCTGGGCCTCTTATATAAGGGTACTTATTCCAGTCATCAAGCTCCAACCTTATGACCTAATCACTCCCAAACGTCCCACCTCCTAAGATCATCACCTTGGGGACTAAGGTGTCAATATAGGAATTGAGGGGGAGCACAAACTTTCATTCAATAGAAAAGTATAAATGTATTTTATCAAAGACTTTCTTACCTTAATTTGTTACCTTAAAATTACCTTAAAAATTTTAAATATTTCGATTTGTGGCATGTGGGCTTCTGTTTGGGTCCTTGCTCTGGGCCCTGCCAATCTTAGAAGGCACCTGCTAGTCCCCAGTGACAGCTAGGCTACTTCTCTGACCTCAGTCATGGCATCACATCATAGTCCTCCAATGCACTGGTGAATGGTCTGACACCTCCATAGTCACAGCATTGGGACCTGGAGATTTTCTTGTTCTATTCCCTCATTTTATAGGCAAAGTAATTGCTACGGAGAAGCAAAGTATCTTGCCAGGGTCACATGGCTTCTAAAGCACTTGGAGGCCCTAGAATGGGAACTGTGTACTAAGGAAGGGTGGATGGGATGGGTTGAGAGGAGTTGGCATTCAGGCTCCTGCAGCTCAGCAGCCCCCCAGAGGCTATAGCACCATCCTCTGACTAGTGGAGCTCAGCAGAGCGGATGTGAAAGGAAAAAGCAAAGATGGTCCTGCATGTGCCCATCACCCACTTGTGATGTGGGATTCCATCCCAGCCCTTGCACTAACTTATCTTCCCAAGCCTCAGTTTCCCCACTGTAGAACAAGTAGCATGGACAGGATGTTCGGTAAGATGCCCCCCACCCAGTCTCCACATCCTATGTCTGAGTGATTCCCCAGAGGCTACAGGTTTGTAGAACCCTGAGGACTGAATTTGGCCTTGATCCATGTTTCTCCTTGATTTCTGAAACCACATGCACTTGCTGGAACACTAACTCCATCTGGTCCTGATTCTCTTCCTCCCTATTTCTCTCCACTGGAAAGCACTGCATCCTGCCCAAGGCACCTCAGGGAGCTGATCTCGTAAACTCCCTGGTTTTTCTCCCCTGAGGCTTCGCAAGTCAAGCATTGCCAACAGCTTCCTCCCTTCTGCCCCAGCAGAGAGGAGCAGCCACCATCTGGGTGAACAGGCTTCTGCCTTCTCCCCTTGGGGAGGCTGGCAAGGTGGATCACCAGCCTTCTTCCCATGGGCAGCTGGAGAACCTCCTTCCTGAAGTCCAGACTTGGAAGTCTCACTCCCCTTTGACCTATATCTTCTGCTTGCCCACCGCCATCCCAAACTTTTACTATTTTCTTTATTTTCTGCTCATTCTTTTAGGCAAGAGGCAGTAGAACACACAGGTTAAGAATATACCTGAACTTGAATTCAGCCTTCCTGTTTATGGGCCATGTGACTTTCTCTGGGGTGATTTTCTTACCTGTCAATCAGGCATAAGAATTCTGACCTGAGGGGTTTGTTGAGAAGAACCGTGCCTGGTACACAATAATAAATACTATCTTTTAGTCGTTAATCCAGTGAACATTTGTAAAGCACATTGTGTTAGATTCTTCATTAATTTCCCCAGGTTTCCTCCAGATTTTATTAATAGCTCTCTACTTTTTTCTTAATATCTAAATGAAATAATCTGAGCTTCCATTCTACACACTCTGAGGAGTCACTCTCCCCAGGAGCTTTGAGGATTCTCTGGGAGGCCTGATGTTCTGCTGTTACTTGTGGTTCTGACTTCCTGTCCTTGGCTAGGATTGTTGTCTGCCCAGATTTGCCCAGTACATGATCAAAGATCTCTCCTAAGACAACTCTTCACATAAGGTCTTTTGAGAACAAAGGGGGATTTTATGTTCAAGAAAAGAAAAAAATAATATTGAATATTATATGCTATTGTTTATAAAAGAACAGAATTCGCTGGATAGAAAGAAGGGGGAAATAGGGCAAGGTGAGGTATTTCAAGCAGAAGGGACGTAGTGTGCAATGATCCCCATAGAACACGTGTGACAGTCTACTACCTGCTTACCAAACCCATGGCCTGGTCTTCCTCCGGGGTTTGAGCTCTCACCCTTGGAGTTAGATGTGGCATGAGGCTGAGGTCTACAGATCAGAATGTGAGCAGAAGGGATTGTACTCCTCCCAGGCCTGGCCCGTGAAAACCTTTGTGCACTCCTTCTTGGAAAAGGACAAAACTGGGATGGTGGGTTTTGGCTGAGTGGGATAGTAACTCCTGGGAGGCCTTTGGGGATATATACTGAAGATGGAAGAGCCCTGTCAGCCTGTCTCTGAAAGAAATGTCAAGAACAACTACTCTTACCAACAGGATCCTCAGTGTTTCCCTGTTACAGGACTGAGGAATAAAAAGTCTTGAATTTGAATCATAATATATTTTGGGGTCTGTTTTTTATTTTTATTTTTGTATCAGAGATTGAACCACTGAGCAACTGAGCCACATCCCCAGTCCTTTTTATATTTTATTTAGAGACAAGTTCTCACTGAGTTGCTTAGAGCCTCACTAAGTTTCTGAGTCTGGCTTTTAACTCAGGATCCTCCTGCCTCATCTTCCCAAACTGCTGGGATTACAGGCATGTGTCACGGTGCCTGGCTGTTTTTGTATTTGGCATTACTCCAACTGATATACATCCAACCTCTTTTTTTCTTTAAACTCATCATGCTTGAGAGTACTTGCATGTAACAACTTTCCTCGGTAGACCATAAGCTATATGAGGGCAGGGAGCACACTTTTCTATCACTCTATCTCCTGTGCATGGTGCATAGAAATAGCTTGGTGAAGATTTGTCAGGTTGAATGTCAAGGTAAAACTTTGGTGAACAGCACAGCGCCATCTGGTGGGCACGGGAAGCAGTGCTGCCTTGTTTCCAGGATTCATTGTCCTTGGCATAGAGGTCTTGTTCCTGCTACAGAGACCCTTCTCTGTCTCCAAAGTTCGCTGATTCTAACTTTCCCTGTTTAGCATATACCCTTAGTCCTGGATTCCTGTGAGGCTGGAGCTTTGCCTTATCTCTACTTTTAAAAAATACCTTTATTTTAATGATTTATTTTTATGTGGTGCTGAGGATAGAACCCAGTACCTCACACATGGAGGCAAGTGCTCTACCACTGAGCCACAACCTCAGCCCTTGATCTCTACTTTTTATGATGCTGGGCAGTGCATGGACCTGATGTCTTCTGTTCTCTGCAAAGCTTTGCCAGTTCTGGATAACCATCTTATATAACTAATAACACTTGTGCAATGCCAGGGTTTTAATCCTGGCTTTGTTCAATTATTAGTTGCACAATCTGTTGGAAATTATGTAACCTCTCTGTGCCTCGGTGTCCTCATTTGAATAATCAGGTTACTAATAGCACCTGTATCATAGGATTATTGTCAGGACTGAATGGTGCTTCACTCATAGCAAGTGCTCAATAAATGTTATTAGGATTAGTATTGCCCTTTCCAGTTTATAAAACAGTTTCATGAATTTCAATAAATATCTTTCCTATAGTCCTTGGAGAAATAAAACCCCAATCCCTTATAAGTAAAATGACAACTCAACATATTCAGAGGCAATGTTACTATTGGTAAGTTTGACACACCATGCCAGATTTTTATATGCTAAGACAGAAGGAGACACTGAGGCCCAGAGAGATATGAGAACTGCTAGTGAACAGTAGAATGGGACTCCCTAGTGTTACATCCAGGTTCCAGTTTGTTAAAGCAGGCTAACTTCTACGCCTGCTTGACATCCTCCCACCCACAATGACAGTGCCCAGGGCATTGCAGAGAAGGGCCTTTCTGCCCTAGACTCGTGGTCTTCAGGCACTTCCTTGCACGGGCACACATGTGCACACAAATATCTCTAACCCATCTGAATTCAGTGCACACATGTTCTCAGTGGCACTTACGCCCTGCTTGCGAGTCTGGCTGGGTCACCAATCTGCCCATCTGAAGTGCGTTTTTCTTTTGCACAGTCCCATACCATTGTTTCAAAATGGGTTTCTGCCCTGATACCTCGCAGCCTTATGTCACCTTTTCTTGCTATCTGTCTATTGACTTGGCTTTTCCAGTTAGAACCCAAGGTTCTGAACTTCCCTGACTGCTCTTCCCTAATGAATCCAGGCTATCCCATAGCTCTGCTAGGTGACAGCTGACACTGGGGCTCCTATAACTTGCTAGAAGGTGCTAAGGGGGCAGTTGTGAGTCACCCCACCAAACCACACATTGGCATTATCCCAGGTGGGTGTTTTAGCCCTGCCGGGGGGGGGAGCTTGCCCATGCAGCCACAGAACTGGCCTGGTCCCCACTACCACTCGCCTCTTAACTCACGTCCTACCTCTCCCACTGGGTTGCCAGGAAGCTAACATCTGGCTGGAGATTCCAATCCGTAGTAACAGCCTGTACTAGTGCTCTTCCCAGACTCCTGCTGGCTCCCTGGCCCAGCCTGGGGGGCTGGATCATGGTCTCCTTGCAAAGGTTTCTGGGGAGGGTACTACTCTACAGCAAACAGCTGCCGTGGCTAATCCGTTTTCTCTGTGCATTTGCAAGATACATAATTAAGAGTTCTGCTGAGGGGGGAAATAAAGCACACCATTAGATTTGTTTAGCATATTACACCAGGTCTAGTGCCCGCCTGAGCCCTCATGTCACACAAGACATTAAGGTAAGACTCCGGAAACAGCCCCCCAGTTGCTTGATAGGATCTGCTCCATGTTAATTCCAAGTAAATATTTGCTATTCAGGTCTTTATATGCCTCACCACCAGCAGGGATTTTGAAAGGTGGGCTTTCCCACCAAACCCTGTTTATTTAATTATCAGACCACTTAAACACAGAGTTCCTAAGGCTCTCCCTACTTGCCCCTGTGTTGTCTTGAAGTTTCTCTCCCTCCTTTTTTCCTTCTGGGTCTTGCCTTCCTTTTTCCTACCAGCTTCTCATTTCCCTTGCCTTCTCTCTTGTCCTTGGTTTCTAGACCTCAAGTTCAGCCTCTGGTGGCGTGGAATGAATAAGGAATGAGCATCAAGGATCGTGGATTAAGAATGTGGCAGAGCTTTGATGTTCTCCTCTGAAGCCTTTGTGCAGTGGAATGAGGTGTGACCCTATGGCTGAGGAACTGGATAGGAGAGGATCTGGAAGGCCCAGTATTGCAATGGAAAAGTCTGGAACTGAGGAGAGCAAGTGGAAGGAGGTTGGAGACCAATATGACAAGAGGAAGAGGAGGGTCTGAGGGTCCTTTCAGGAGAAGGCTGGTATGGAAACATGCTGTTGTGCTAGGAGGGTTTAATGCATGAGCCATAATGATCACAGAAATGGTGGATGCTCTCACGGCACTCTGTACAGGTGCTATTCATGGCCAACTGAGGGCGGTCAGGAGAGGCTGTCCCTATATCTGCCAGAGGGGAGGGAGCAGGGGATGGTAGAAAGGAGGGGCAAGTTGGCAGAGCTTAGCCTGGTGCCATCTTGAGAGGCAGTGGTGAGCTCCTAGCCTCTTGGAGGCAGAAGGACCTCCCAGGTCATATAAGCCAACACCAAGTATCATTTCCCTCTATCTGTCCCTAACAAGGATGTTCCTTTCCTAACAGTATGGAACACATAGTGGAGTCCAGTCCATTGGAGGGCAGGGTTGAGCGTGAAGCTTATCCTCACATTGAGCCAGAATCACCTGTAATACCTGTGATTCATTGGTTCTGGGACTCACCTTGGGTGTCCATATAGCTGTCCCATCCCTCTACCATTCATTCCCTTGTATATTTGAGTTCACCATCAAACTCCATCTGAAGTTTCTTTTCCTGACTTCGACAGTGCCCCCTTCTCATCATAGTTCTCACTGTAGTGATGTGTGTGAGCCGTGGGTTAGTGTCCCCCAGGGCCCGTGCACTTTAGGAGGGCGTGAGCTATGTTTTGTTCACTGCTTTACCCCAGTGACCAACAGTTCTGGCAAGTTCGAGGCATTCAACAAATATTTGTTGTATGACTTTGAGACATGGCTTGAATTCCTTGATTTTCCTTCTCTTCTACCTTGGAGAACACAAATTTCTCGATAGATCTCTTCAACTGGATGATTTGTTTTGCCCAGAGTGGGCCTACCTTCTCCCACACTTTGCAATGTTGGCAAGCTTTTTCTATAAAGGGTCAGGGAATAAATATTTACAGTCTCCATTCTAATTACTGAATTCTACCTTTATGGTACTAAAGCCACCATAGATAATATACAGAAAAGTGGATTTGACCATGTTCTGATAAAACTTTACAAATATAGATGGTGGGTCACATTTGTCCTGCAGGCCATAGTTTGTTCCAATAAACACTAAAGTTTTAGAAAATTTAGACTGGAATTGGGAAATAATCCTGTCAGAGAAATTTTAGTGCCGACCATTCCAGCAAGGAGTGAGCAGAAAAGAGCCCTTGGGCCCTTTGTGGCAACGGCAGCCTCTGCAGGAGGCAGAGAGTAGGTTAACCGCAAGACCTGGGCCTTGTGCGAAGTCAGGCTGGGAATAAAGCTGGACCACCACTCCTGCACCTGAGGGTCTGTCTCTGCTGAACTGGGTACCCAGGATGCAGCCAGAACAAGGAGATTCCATGCAAGCAGTGACAGTGGTCACTAGGGAACATCCTGACCCTAATAGTGGCTCTGTTGATATGTGAGGAGAAGGCTGATGGGGGATACTTTGAGCTACCAGGTCTAAAGGAAGCAAGTGATCACAGCTGCAATTGGGGGATTTAAGCACAGAGTGGGGATATGTGTGAATATGATTATATTGTGTCCATTTGTACGTCTAAATGTGCACGTAGAATGTTCCAGTCCATTTGGAGCTTCTGAAGGTGTGCGTTTGCGTATGCAGACTTCTGTTATAGCACTTACCATGCTCTGCTGTAGGCGTCTGCCTTCTTGTTCATTTCTCTTCTGAGGCAGGGAACTCATGGAGGGTGAGGGCTGTTCTTCTTAATCTGCTTATTTCCAGAACTCTGCACAGGGTTTGAGTCTTAGTAAGGGTGTAATAGTTTAGTTTAGGCTTAATTACATTGCTTAGTTTAATAAACCCATTAAATCCTGTTGTCTCAGATTTGGGACACTTATAAAAACTTAAACTGAGTAAGAAATATACCTGGGGTATATTTATTTGAAATAAATATAATATTTTTAGAGATCGTTTCTTTTGAGAAAAATAATAGGTGAACACACACATATGTTTCATGTAGTATATGAAAAAATATAAGAGATAAACATTCTCTGGATTATGACTTCCAACTGTTTTTAATGCACCTGTGTCCATTTTGTTACTTGCAGAATTGAAACACAGGACTTACTGGGTTAAATTGAATTGAGGATGGGCATTCAACACAGTTATGGGGCATTAGAGAGAATTGTTGTGATTGTGATTGTGTTTGCATATGGAGATGGTAGGTTTTCATTAGGGTGTGTGTAAGCAGACATGAAATTATTTCAGGGCATGTATGCAGGCACATATAGAATTGGGCTTTTGGGGTGTACATTTGAGATGTACATACAGACAGGGTCAGATTGTAGTTTTTTGTATATATGATGTGAATGTTCAGTGGAATATTTACATGGGACATACATAAAAATCAGGATTAAAGGTTCATGTGCAAGGGATATAAGAGGTATAGCAAGATAGAGTGTGCATGTATATATGAGGTGTGTACAAATGTACCTGACATCTACATCAAAGACCTAATCATAGGCTGGTGGGAAAGGATGGTTCATCTGAATATGTAGCAGATGCAGGAGCTTGGGGGAGATACACAGGGAGTGTGTACATGGGGCCTGCGCATGTCGACATGGGTCTGTGTTGTATATTCACTGCAGCCATAGCTGGATGAGGCTAATTCCTATCAGATAAGCACATGCAGACATGACCTGGTAGAGGTGCATACACATTGGAAATGTTCAAGTAGACTTCGGCTGTTGGAGGTATATGTAAATGATGGAGGTGTGCATACAGGAATGGATAGCTGTGAGGACGGGTGTAGGATTGTAATTGTTAATTCAGCACTGAAGGTGCATATACATAGGAATGAACAGAAATAATGATCTTTTGGTGATGTGTTATTTGAGGGGCATGCATACAGATGTGGCCTATACAGGGTATGCAAATATGGTGTGCATAAAGAGCCATGCCATTGAAAGTATGTATGAGAAGTATGTTTGCAGACTTGGGAATGCATCCCAGGGAGACACAGAGAGA